CGGTCAGTACCGCACCCAGCTTGGTCAGTCGTTCGGCGAACAGCGCGACGATCACCGCACTGTACGCCGGCTGCATAGATGTCCGGTAATTGCAGCAGTAGGTCTTCATCGTGCCATCCCAGTCGGTGATGAACAAGTCAATGGAGCCAGTCCGCAGCATGCGCTGTAGCATCGCCTCTAGCTGACTGAGTTCAGCGTGGAACTGTGCCTTGCTGACCTGATGGAACGACGACAGATAGTCGATGAATTTGTCGGTATCCAAACCGTGCTTGATGTTCTCCAGAAAGAAAATATCTTTCTCGATGCCAACCAGCTCGTCCTTGATGTTGAAGTTGATCGGATTGCCGTCGTCCATGATCAGGCTTTGCGAAAAGCCGGACGCCATGCCGCGTTCGATGTCGTGTTTCGCCTTCACGATGCGATCGATGTCCTCACTGTCGATCGACAACTGCTTCAACAGGTTGCAAGTGACCGCCCTCCGGCTTTGCCTCACCTAAAGCAGCGCGACACGTCTTCAAACAACACATCTTCGGCTCCATGGTCGTCTTTCATAAAACGTCAATGCCAACTACCGGTGCAGCGACACGACAGAACGCAATTCCGTCTCAGACAGTGAATAACCCTGTTGGCGACGTGTCAAAAATGCATCACCACAAACAGGCATGCTTGAATTCGATTGATGTTCGAACATATTTTTCTCCAATCCGACATAATAATGCGGTTTTGCGTTCACGCACGGTGGTTGCTATGCGATGGAACCACGGCCTGCTTATGGGGTCCCCCAGACCTCTAGAAGAAAAGGGACGGGGCGATTACACCATGCGAACCCAGGCAATCAGCTCGTATAGGCAATGCTTACCAGCCATGTCACTAACCGGCTGTTGCTAGCAAACCCTGAATATTCGTGAGTATGTTTCTACGCAACATAATCTTAAGTGATTGCATGTGTTTTATCCCAAGGCTATTCTGATATTTGGCCCACGTCGGTCAGTGGATGAGGGATCGAGGACGACGCACTGCTACGAGCCACAACTTCTATTCACTGAGTTAGTACAACAAAACGGTCGGATACTTACATGCAGCATGAGGTCATTGAAGTCCTTTACGGTTTTCAACGGCTTGTCCATTTTAATTTGATTAACGACCCGACTAGACGTAACGCAAAAGCACGCCCTGAAAACAAATACATGGTACATCGCTTTTTGAACTAGGTACGCCACTCATGAGGTCGCAACGATGCGCGGAGGGAACAAAAGGCGATCGCCGACAAACGGCGTATGCACAAAAAGTAGACATAATTTAAAATTCGGACAATCAGTTAGCGGAAAGGGTTAAACTTCTTCGAACACAATCGACCCACAATATAACGGCCACCAAACCGTCTGATCACAGGCGGCGACAGTTAGGACGATTAGTTGGAATATCACCAGCTTAAGTTCTAAGGTGTCAGGTGTAATCTGTTTGTCGTTTGAAACCGAAATGTTAAACAAAAAAAATTCCGTTTCGTTTCGTAACAGCATCGCATTGAAAGCCATTCGAGAAGGTTCACTTACGCTAAATTACGTGTTGGGCTGCCCTGATGATCATCTTGCAGAAACAACCATTGTCCTTCACGCACTCGTCAAATTTTTAAACGAAAATCAGCGCAAATGACTAAAGTCAAAGTGCTAACGTATAGTAATTTAGCTTCCTGGTCAAGTAACCTCACAACAAGCGAACCTTACATGTCACTAGCGTCAAAAAAATATTTAATCTTCGTCTTATTCAGCTTAGCAGCGGCCATTACATGTCTTTTTTCTCCAGATTAGAAAAAAGCTGTACCTATATATCACGTAGAACAACAACCGAACTGAACGACATAATCACGTAATCCGCCTATAAAACTGATTACACAGTTGAACGCAACAGTACAAGTGAATTTTATAAACAAAATCTTCTGATCAAACGGTTAAAAACAAAAAATCCACAGAAAAATTACATTTAGAGACCAGCGCTTCCCTCGACAATGATCAGTCTTCTACATCATCATAACTACCCCATCCACCGCTATCTTATTCAATCATAACTATTACGCATCTATCGATATGATTCATTAGCATCATGTCCAACCCCACTGTCCATCGTATAGACGGGACTTATGTATCGTCCTGCATCATATGTATCTTGATTTTTTATTTCAGTTCACTTAAATATAGTAAGAGTGGTATGAACATTACTCCATCTCGAACCTTCTACCAAGGGTTAGGGAGCTGCAGTACTCTTTTTAAAATCCTGATTTTTACTAGCAGGATCCCTTTCTACCATCTGTCCACCTGTCAGTTGGCTTTACTAGTCGCTGATAGTTTCTTTCCACTGCTACAAGAGCACCGATAACCAGGGGAACGATTTCCTCCATTATTCACCAGACCTTCTGTATTGCTATCCTCAATTTCAGTATCTTTTCTCTCCCTTAACAGCAACGTTTTCGTCAGCCAAGAATGGTCTATCAATGATCTGTGCTCGTCTTTCCACTTTGTCTACCAGTGCGATATCTGGATGAGTCGATATGAGGCGAAGGTTACTTTCTCAGTGTTCGTATTGCGAAGCTTTAGAGAATTATTACTCGTTACACCTCTTCCACCGCTTTCGGCTTATGTTTCCAACATTGCTTTGCCACTCGCAAGTCGGCTCACTTGCACACATTCCAGTGGATTATCCTTGCAACGTTGTTGTGCCTTTCCTGGTATTCAGAATTCGCGAGAGTTTCGCAGCCAGAAACTATATGCAGCACGCTGTCATCCTTCAATGGACACATTCCGTACTTTTTCTTCTGGCTGCAGCATCTTCACTTTGTACGAGTTCGTGTTCGGTGCTTGGTCTTGGACAGCTATCAGAAGGGCTTCTCTGTTTCGCGACGGAATTCACTATTTTTAGATACTTGGAAGTCTGGTAATATCTGTCTTCACCGATACTGCAGATCGAGTTCTTTATTGTTCGAACAATTTCATCTGGCATTCTCTACATTTTCCGGATGATCATCACTTCTAGCTGCTTGCTTTCCAGTCTATACAGGCAGTTAACCATTACATCCGTCAGCACCCTATCGTGCATTCCCTTAAAGATGACGTCTCTAATCCCAGCGTATTTTTAACACGACGAAGACTTCCTTCTTTGCGCAGGACATAATTTGTGGGTATCTTATTTTCGACGCCTCCCGTATAAGCCAGCACTTGTACCACATACTGGTTAATGGTCACAATTTTGTTCTTCCGAACAACTTGTCCATCAGAAATCGGCTGATTCTGTTCTCGTATTACGTATTAACCGTTAACTAAATTTTTATATCTAATTAGCACGCCAAGATACTTATAAGACTTACCTTGTTCCAAGTTGTTTACTTGTCCAGACTTTTCTCGTCTTAATTTCGGCAATAGCACTTTTACCCAAACTGAATTCTCTGCAAATATCTTCTGAAAGGACTTGTATAGTTTGGATCATATTATCCAGTTGTTTTACCAATCTCGCAAGAAACTTCAGATCATATTATACAGGTCTTCAGGTGCGATATTACATGGCCGTCTTTCAACTTTATTAGGTCATCGTTGAAGGTGTAAACTTTTAGACATTCTAGGATCCAGTCATGTGGTATTACTTGATCAAATGGCTCCCCTTTTGTTCAGGA